GCCACGCCGCAGCACGCCGCCGACGTTGCAGCCGCTGCCCTCGTTGTCGACGTCGCCCCACCTCAAGCCTAGGGGGTGTGTTACATTATATATTGTGTTATATAATTGGTAGGCTTGGTAGGTTATCGAACTCTACTGTACAGGGTACAACTCCCTCCTTCTATGCCTCTCTCTCTTCTAGTTCTCTCTCTTCGTTCGTGCAGGCCATACTTTGGTCTACGTAGATGACCTGGTCTTTGCTACAGCAGACAAAGACGCGCTGGCCTCCGTGAAGGCTGAGCTGCTGAGGCGACACACCTGCACTAACCTGGGAGAGCTGCGCCGCTACCTTGGCCTGCAGATCTCCAGGGATAGAGCAGCGTGCACCATCACTCTTACACAGTCACACTTGGTGCGCCAGGTCCTTCAGAGGTTCGGCCTTTAGTTCTCCTCCGCACAGCCCACACCTCTGCCGGTAGACCAGAGGCTCTCAGCTCCAATTCTCGAGGAGTCAGCAGAGCCCAGTGGTCCTTACGCAGAGCAAGGTGGGTTGCCTCATGTACCTGATGACTTGCACTCACCCAGATCTCGCATACCCTCTCAGCATCCTGGCCCGCTTTGTGGCCACAGGCAGACACCGACCACAGCACTAGTCGGCCGCTAAGAGGGTTTTGCGTTATCTTGCAAGTACATTGGGCATGGGGCTAGTGCTGGGAGGACGCAGGCCAGTGGTCCTTACTGGGCACACTGACGCTTCTTGGGCAAAAGACGCTGAGACCCTCCGGTCCTCCCAGTGCTACTGCTTTAGCCTTGGTTCTGGTGCCATCTCGTGGAGGTCCACTCGCTCCTCGTCTCTTGCTCTGTCTAGCTGCGAGGCTGAGATCTACGCCGGTGCCATGGTGGCACAGGAGCTCCGCTGGCTGACCTTCTTGCTTGCCGACTTAGGTGAGCGGCCTAACTCTGCCCCGGTTCTGTACGCTGACAACAGGGCCATGATCCTCCTGTTGCTCAGCACTACCCCTTATCTAGCCTAGGGGGTGTGTCAACGTATACATATATTGTTATGTAGAAGGTATAGGCTAGATAGGGTATGTTCTTAGTGGGTGCAACACAAATGCTATATCTCCCCTGTTCTCCCTTCTAATTATTCTTTCTAGTCTTAACACTACCAAGCCTAGAATTATATAACAAATATATTTTTTAACACCACGATATACCATACTCGAACCTGATCAGGCCCTCAGATTGGTTTTAAGTCATCCTGATTTCAAAGGACTACCCGTGGTTTTTTCCCTGAATTTTCATAGGTCCCCAATTTTTTTTGCTTAGGGGTCAGGATTGTGTGGGACAAAAATGCTGAATGGACAGAGATAGATGGTTTTTTTCCCCTGATTGACATGATGAAGTTCTAATTGAGAAGCAAGGAACTTTACTCGAAATTATCAAGATCGTCCACATTGTCACTACTACCTACACCCTACTCTGACTCATCTTCTACTACCTTCCCCTTCTTCGAGCCGTCTTGCTTGGCCTGAGGGGTGTTGTTGAAGGGCTTACGCTTCTTGTAAGCGCGTCATATCTCCACCACAGCATCATAGTCCGGGTCATAGTCTAACAGTGACATGCACATGAGGTCACTAAGCCTAGTATCTTTAAGGTTGCCACGCAGCCAGCTCTTAATCACATTCTGCCTAGAGAATCCACGCTCGCACTCCACAGTGCTGAGAGGAAGCACTGCCACCGCCATCCACAGCTTCATCAGGTTTGGGTAAGAATCCTGCCAGTCAGGTGTCTTCAGCATGGCCGTGAGCCCAGCGTGAAAGCTTCGGTCGGCCTGGGGAAGAGCAGCAATGATAGGGCAGAAATGAGGCAGCTCTCTCATGGCTGCACGCTTGTCAATGCCAAGAAGAATCTCCTCTACCTCATCTGCACGATAAAGAGTAACAAGGGAGAAGAACCAGTCAAGGCACTGGGCCTTGCGTGCAGCTCTCTCCCAGTTAGGGGGCCAGAGGTTGACAGAGAAGAGGCGGCAGCCAGAGAGCTTCCCCAGATCACCCAGTCGCTCCTTCAAGTTCGACACCATGCCTGTCGCCATGGCCACACAGAGCCTCTGGCACGCGTCGTGATCGCCATCCCCCGGATAACCGGGCAAGCGATCTTCATGCAGCACGAAGGTAAAGGAAGCCAGACGATCGTCGGAGTCAACCCCCTCAGCTGTGACCTCGCGAGAACCGCCCGGGCCGTGACGGGTGAGGAAGATGGTGAGACGGTCCTTCGGTCCCCCGCCTAAGTCTTCGGCGTCCCCGTAGCGGCTCTGCAGTAGGGTTGTTGTGCGGATGATCTGCGCGTGGACGGCCGAGTACTCCAGCTGAGGTTGGGGCGGGGAAGAGGGGGAGGGGAGGAAGGGAGGGGAACGTGTATATATACAAAACCAGGGTGGTTTAATAACGACTCATTGTCACAGTAAAGAAAAACTCACCTGACGCTCCTGGAAGGACTTGTTGAGGATGTTTAGCTGCTCCAGTACGTCAGCAAGGAACATGACAAGGAACCAGAAGCGGTAGCTTGTCACTATCCAGGAGAGCCGGGTATCAGTCCACTCCGAGAGCATGACGACGATGGCGGGTAGAACCTTGACTAACCTAATGACAGCCTCACCGCGGGAGAGCCATCGGATGTTATGAATGCCTTGAAGTTCGAGGTTCGTCAAGGTGAAGATTTCCTGCAGGTCCAAGAAGCGCTGGTGCCATGGGCCGGATCGTCAGAAGTACTCAGCGAGCTCCTTGATGACATCGTCAATCATCTTGAAAGCTGGCAAGGATTCCGCCGCTGCTTTAGCTGCCAGTGCCTCTCTGGAGGGTGGGACAAAATGAAAACAAATTGGTACATGTTGGGCCTTGGGAGTGGGGTAATACACATTGCACATGCGGAAACCACCAGTGCACTTAACCCGAGGTACAGTAGCGGTAAACAAAAACGCTCACATGTGCGCAATACAGTGACACGACACCAAGTGCGGAATTTGCATCCGCAGCCGCGTCACAAGCCCAGCCTTCGACCCCATCATAACAGCAGCGCCATCGGTGCTTATGCCCACGACCCGCCGGAGGTCGACACCGATGGCGTTGATGTGAGACAGGAGTAGAGCGAGCAGAGAGGCAGCGTCGGCCTTGTCGACGCTCAGCAGGGCCAGGTATTCGCAGACGACTTGGTTCTCGCGGATGAAGTGCGCAAACACGATGAGGTGCTTGCCGCGGCAGCGGTCTGTGCTCTCGTCGATACTCAAGCCGATGAACGGACTCCTCAGAAGGTGGTCCAACTGTGTTGTCTGCAGCCATGTTGCCATGGACTGTGTGAACTCCCGTACCCATAACTACAGTAGCCAAGGGCATACAGATAATTAGTATACTTAAATATGAACATTCGTCATGCATGATAGATGCATGCAAAATAAAATCAAACAAAACACAAGAATACCTGTTGTAGTACGTGTCATAGCTCTGCTCGGGGAAGTGCTCGTGCCGACGTTGGCTGAGGTAGCGCACGAGTCTAATCCAGTTTTCCATCGGCTCGTTGCCTTTGCAGCAGAAGTAGAGCGCGTCAAGCAGCGCAGTCACACGTTCTTTCTCCAGGTCTGTGGCTTGAGGAAGCTGGTCGATCCGCATCTGGTTGGTTGCGTCCTGCAGCAGCGCCTGCTGCTTTGTCACGGCTAGGCGATGCTTGGCCGACCCCGCGTGCCTGTTGAATGCCTGCGACTGCACGTCCGTCAGCCCTGCGCTGCGTTTGCCGGCTTTCCCTCTGAGTCCTGCATGCTCAAGGCACAGACTGCATTTAAACGCAGGGAATCCAGCGTCAGTCTTAACGATCATAAGCCAGGGAAATCGCTCGGACCACCGCGTATTAAACTTGCAGAGGCTTCGCCGTAGACATCCTCAGGCGATCGAAACTTGTCGGGTGCATCGGTAGTGTCTTCGCCATCGCTGTCGTCATCTTCGCACATGGCTGAGGGGCGGGGCGTCGTCGGCTGACCACGTGGGAAATTCCACAGGGTGGATTGCCTGTATCGACCGCCAGGTTTCACGGGGGTGGCGGAACCTTGACTACAGGTAAAAGCATTAGCCAGGGATGGGTCTAGAATAGGCGCGGAATTCGGCTCGACAACACCTTGAGAAGTTGAGGCGACCGACTGCGAGGCGCATAGGGGGTTTTGTTCTGTCGGAGGGTTACGAGGAGTCTTCGGAAAACTATCTAGCGTCGAAAGGAGCATGTCAAGCCCAGTGGGGGCTTCGGCACGGTGACTGCCGCTGTCGTCGCCATCGTCGTCCTATTCCACGTCGCCTGACTCAGGCATGTGGACGGGGCTCACTAGGGTGGTCGACGAGCAGAGACACACGACAGAGTGGTTGTAAAACAACGACACTGCGGGGGGAAGGTCACGCTGGGAGTGGCTAACGCAGTGGCTGTTTCTACCGTGGGAAGAAACAGATGAAGAAGACGCAGGGGGGAAAGGGAACGATGGCGAGGCGCGATCACTTTGCCAGCCACGCACAGTTGGCTTCCTGTATTCCTGAATCTGGACCGAAACTAGCGCGGCGCATGCGCGTCGGCGTCGAACCGGAGTGTGGTGTTGAAGCTGGGTCATCATCGCTGGCGTACACGTGATTGGCTATTCAGGCAGCATTTACAAAGGCAACCAATCCACGCATGCAGGCAAACAGTGTGCTGGTCGACACTTTGAGAAGGACCAATGCCGTGAGGCAGCGCGGCAACATGTGACTCAGCAAACAATGTCTGCAGGCGGGAACCTGGCAGTCAGGCCAGTTTTGTGAGGGAATATGCGCATATCGCTGTAATTCGGGGGGGGGACCCGCAAATCACGCCTTTGACAAAATCAGAACCCATGCTCGATACAAGTCTGAAATTTCAGGATCCATTACAAAAAAAAACTGACCTGACAGATATCCCTTACAAAAAAACCCTGAAATTTCAGGATATGCCAAAAACAAAACCCTAGCAAATAAGATCTGGTACCCCTCAACACCCTGTTTTTTTCCTGAATCAGGAAATTTTTCCTGACTTCTGGGGGCCTGAACCTGATGCTTGACAAACCTCGTTCCAGTGACTCTTGGTATCCTAAATCCTCGTTTCTGGTACAGAGCGTCCTTCATTACTACAAGGTGTGCTACATCTGCATTGCAAGTTCCCTACTCTAGACGTTTCTGTAAGATTTCCTGAAATTTGCAAATCTTCTTCTAGCACAGATGCAGCCTGCTGCATCCGCCCTCCTAAGGTACAAATCCTGAGCCATGCTTGTATCGTTTTCTCGCTCCTCGCCGATGGGCAAACGTGCCATGCTCTAGCTTGCCAAGTCGGCATTGAAAAATGGCTCACATAACTTCCACCGGCCAATCACCGGAAAGTGAGCCGCAACTGCTGCTCCTGCACTGCGTGCTTGCGTGCCATGTCAGCCATCTCCCTCTCCTGCCGCTGCTTCATCCGCCTCCACCGCCGCTGCAGCTCTGCTGTCTCAGACTGCCATGGCACGAGTGACAGATGAGGCGGTACCATGCTCCTGACACTGGGCGCCACAGGCCGAGGTGAGACGGGCCGAGGTAGGGACAGTGGCTGAGCTAATTGGGAATGGCTTGTGGAGGGAGGTGGCCCTGCCACTGGTGCTGCAGTCAGCTGTGTGCTTCCAGCTGCTGGCGTTGATACAGATACGCTCGAATTCCCCGGCTCGACTCTGACCCAGTCACGAAACGATACTGACGAAGCAGATGGCTCGGCGTGTGAATCTATGTGCTCAGCATGTGCCTGCTGCTGCTGCTGCTGCTGCTGCTGCTGCTGTGGCGGTAGGGTTGCAGTCAGGTGTCGCTTAAGGGCCGTAGCTGCTACCCCATCCAACAGCCGGGCACTCCAAGGCCTAGAGGAAGGTGGGAGATGCAAGGAAGGGACAACACAGCAAGCAACAAAGAGCAAAGGGAAATCAAGCTGCAACGCTGCGCCACGATCTTGATTACGAAGGTGAAATTAAACCGAATAGAATGGACGGAGGAGTTGCTTAGAAGCAAGGGACCGGGTGGATAAAGAAAGTGCAACAACGACAACCGACGAGAGCGACGAGGGAAGGGAATCGAGGGGAGAGAGGAGAAGAGAAACAAGGGCATACCGCAAGTGGTGGTGGCATACACGGGCATACCGCAAGAGAGACACGGACATACAACAGCTCAATACTAGCAGTCAGACGTCTGTCTTTGAACCATTTTTTCTATCAGGGGAGGGAACGGCTGACCTGCGAGTGAGTGGTGGTGGAGTTTGTAGATGAGGATTCTCAAAAAAGGGAATGGCGTAACGGTAACGGGCTCGTCTGCTTTACCTGCGGGTGGCGGTGGGAATGACGGCGGCGTTGTGCTGAGGAAGCGCTCCACTCCACGTCTATATTTGAGGTGGCACTCCAAGCCTCAGAGAATATTTACCTGCGGGTGGCGGTGGGCATGACAGCGGCGTCGTGCGCGAGGAAGCGCTCCACGCTGGCCGCCTCGTCCCGCGACCGGAAGAGCAAGACAGCCCACGCGGCACCGGGCGGGTCGCGCAAGGGGTGCCGGGGAACAAGAGCGACGGCCAGCAGCGGGAATACTGTGAGCGCCTGGGAAGGGAGGCATGGGCATGGGAAGGGGTGAAATGGGGAGAGAGGTGCATGGGGTGGGCGGGTGGGGGGGGTGGGGAGAGGAATGGTGGGAAAGCGGGAGGGCAAGGGAAGAGCAGAGAGAAATGAGAGAAGGGAGGGAGGAGAGGGAGGAGAGGGGGGAGGGAGACGGAGTGGTGTGGTGTGGGGGAGCGAGATGACAGGGGGTTCTTTGAGTTACTAAAAAGCACTTGCAACGAAGGGGAAGGAAAAAAAAAAGCCCTCACAGCAGAGGGGTATTACTATTACCTGCACAACGTCTCGCACGTCTTGAGCCACGGTATCATCCTCGAGGTTCTCTATGACGACCACGGCTGTGCTGTCATCTGTGGCGGCACATGCACCCTGCGCGGAGGGTGCAATGGCACGACTGCCAGGCGCAACAACAGCAGGAGGTGTGCTCTGGCGCACAAGAACACCAGAGGGACGTGAGTTGAGAGCAACCAGCGGAGTATCAGCTGCCATGGCATCATCTTCAGCATCAGCATCAGCAGCGGCATCGTGATCAGCATCATGATGCCCATCCGCATCCGCACCCTCCACCTCCTGCCTCTCTCCCTCCCATTCCTCCTTGCTGTGGTTACTACTCCCATCCTCCTCTTTCTCCCCTCCTTCCATCTCCCCTCCCTCCTCATGCTGCCCCATATCTTCATCACCCAGGCCCCTCACATTCTCACCACTCCCTTTATGCACACCCACCCTCCGGATTCCCAGATCCTCTGCCTCACCGAGAAGATCCCCCTTCTCTGCTGCACTACCACTACCAGCACTCATTGCAGCGGGTGCACCGGGAGCAGCTGCAGCAGGAGGAGGAGCAGCAGGAGGAGCAGGAGCAGGAGCAGGAGCAGGAGCAGGAGCAGGAGAGCTAGCAGGGCCATCAGCACCAGCAGCACTGGAACTCACCCCCGGGTCCCTACCAGGCCCAGCCGTCCTAGGAGCCGCTCTGAAGGCAGTGGGAATGGCAGCTCGCCCGCATCTGCCGCCCCTCACTGCTACTGGCCTTCGGAATGCTCCACCTGCTCTCACCCCTCTGCCTTCACCTGCTGGGCCTTTGAGGGATGCTGCTTCTGGCGGTGCTGCTGCTGGCGGTGCTGCTGCTGGTGCTCTTGCTGGTTCTGCTGGTGGTGGTGCTGCTGCTGTTTCTGCTGCGCCCAGTGGCGCTTTTCCTGCTGCTGGTGCTGCTGGTGCTGCTGCTGCAGCTGAACCAGACCCTGGAATCGCTGATGCTGGCACTGCTACTCCTGCAGGGGCCACGGCTTCTTCACTCGTTGCTGCAGGTGCTGCTGATCCTCCACCTGCTGCCGGTGCTAGTGAAACTGCTGCTATCGCTTTCCGTGCTTCTGCCTCCATTGACCCTGCTGGCAACGAGCCTGCTGGCAACGAGCCTGCTGGCAACGAGCCTGCTGGCAACGAGCCTGCTGGCAACGAGCCTGCTGGCGACCCTGCTGGTCCCAACGGCCCTCTTCCCGTGCCTCCAGCCCTCCCTCCCCTCACAGCAACAGACCTGCCCCTGACTGCCACCATACGCCCCCCTCTGCCAACCCTACCGTTGCCACGCTGCTGCTGCTGCTCCCGACTTGGAAAAGGAGCACCAGAGGTAGGGGAAGGAGCTAGCGGTTGCGGAGGCCCTCTTGGACTTGAACCGCCGTTTTTTTCAACACTACCACCACCAGTTGTAGCAGCAGCAGCAGCAGCAGCAGCAGCGCCATCAGCACTGGTGTTAGCAGCAGCAACAGGAGCAGCGTCAGCAGCCGGTGCAGAAGCAGCAGGAGGAGTCGTAGCTACAGGAATCGCGTGCTCCCTCTCCCTCCTCCATTGCCTACCATCCTCCTCATCCCCTCCGCCTCCTCCTCCTCCACCCACCCCACTCCCATGCATCCTATACCCACTGCCTTCTCCCCCTCCTCCTCCTCCTCCTCCTCCTCCTCCTCCTCTTCCTCCCCCTTCTCCACTCCTAAAACCTCCTCCTCGCCCTCCTCCTCCCTCTCTTCCACCTCTCGCGCCATATCCTCCCTCCACTCCTCTTCTCTCCCCCTCTCCCCGCCACTCCCCTCTCAAGCCTCGACCCGCATCTGCCCTTCTTAAAGCCCCATCATTGTCATCTGCTCGCCTGCTCCTGTCCGCCAAATGCTCCCTGCGGAAGCTCCTCTCCCTCTCCCGCTCCACATGTCTTTCTCTCTCCTCCTGGCCCTGTTCCCTGCCCCCTCCCTCCCATCTCCTCCCCCCTCCCTGCCATCCCCTCCCCCCTCCGTCCCATCCCCTCCCCTCTCTGTCCCATCCCCTCCCCCCTACCTCCCATCCCCTCCCACCTCCTTCCCATTCCCTCCGCCCTCCCTCCCATCCCCTCCCACCTCCGTCCCATCCCCTGCCCCCTCCCTGCCATCCCCTGCCCCCTCCCTCCCATCCCCTCCCCCCTCCCTCCCATCCGCTCCCCTCTCCCTCCCATTCCCTGCCCCATCCATCCCGTTCCCTGCTCCTACTCCGCCTCTCCATCTCACCATCCTCTACCCGCCCAGGACTCAACCCACCGTCTCGCTGCCTCTCCTTTTGAATCGACTCAAAAGCAGACCCAGGACTCAACCCACCGTCTCGATGCCTCTCCTTTTGAATCGACTCAAAAGCAGACCCAGGACTCAACCCACCGTCTCGATGCCTCTCCTTTTGAATCGACTCAAAAGCAGACCCAGGACTCAACCCACCGTCTCGATGCCTCTCCTTTTGAATCGACTCAAAAGCAGACCCAGGACTCAACCCACCGTCTCGATGCCTCTCCTTTTGAATCGACTCAAAAGCAGACCCAGGACTCAACCCACCGTCTCGATGCCTCTCCTTTTGAATCGACTCAAAAGCAGACCCAGGACTCAACCCACCGTCTCGATGCCTCTCCTTTTGAATCGACTCAAAAGCAGACCCAGGACTCAACCCACCGTCTCGCTGCCTCTCCTTTTGAATCGACTCAAAAGCAGACCCAGGACTCAACCCACCGTCTCGATGCCTCTCCTTTTGAATCGACTCAAAAGCAGACCCAGGACTCAACCCACCGTCTCGCTGCCTCTCCTTTTGAATCGACTCAAAAGCAGACCCAGGACTCAACCCACCGTCTCGCTGCCTCTCCTTTTGAATCGACTCAAAAGCAGACCCAGGACTCAACCCACCGTCTCGATGCCTCTCCTTTTGAATCGACTCAAAAGCAGACCCAGGACTCAACCCACCGTCTCGCTGCCTCTCCTTTTGAATCGACTCAAAAGCAGACCCAGGACTCAACCCACCGTCTCGCTGCCTCTCCTTTTGAATCGACTCAAAAGCAGACCCAGGACTCAACCCACCGTCTCGCTGCCTCTCCTCAGCGCGTTCCCTATCCCTGCTTCTGCTGCGGCTGCTGCCCTTCTCTCCATCAATCAACATCTCCTCCTCCCTCCCTCTGTCATGCGACCGCTCCCATCCCCTTCCAAGTCCTCCTTCCCTACCTCTCTCCATATGACTCTCTTGGTCATGTGAGTTGTTCTTGCCACCCCTCGCCTCTCCTTCCCGCTCCACGTTCCAGATCCGCCCCTGCCTATTCCGTAGTGACTCTGCCTCAACCTGCCTTTCCCTTGCTCTCAAATGGTCCTTGTCGCTACCCCTCTCCTCCCTCTCCCTATCTCGCTCCATCCTCCTCTCGCTGTACTTATCTCTCTCTCTTCCCCTCGTCCGGTCTCTCTCCCTGCTTCTTCCATCGTCCCTATATCTCCCCTTTTCCCGATCCCTTTGCCCTTCCATACCATAATCCCTCAACCGCCTCTCCCTCTCCCTCGGACTTCGTCCCTCATGCTCACCTTCCCTTCCCAGCTCCCTAGTCCCTTCCCTTTCCAACCCTCCATCCCTCCTCCTCATCCCCATCTCTTCACCCTCAGCTCCTCCACCTTCACCTTCAGCTGCATCCTGCCTCCTACATGCATCCCCGCGCCCATCTCTGCCCAAGCTCCTCCTAGACTCGCCCATATGATCCCGCTCCCTTGCCCAGCCCACGTTCCACGTCTCCCCAGCCCCTCCTGCCCCGTCGACACTCCTTGCCCTTGAACCACCCCCTCCGTACCCGTCACTGTAGGGCTCGCTGTAAGGGCTTCTTGAGACCTGTCTCGGTGTGCTGCCCCCTTGCTCCCCATCGCCCTTGCTTCGCCTCTCACTGCCGCTGTGCTCTTCTTCTCTCCCATCATCCCCACCCATCAATGCATTTCTTCTAGAAGAGCCTCCAGCACCACTTCCCTTCAGTCCAGCTCCTGACAACACGCCGCGCTTCCTTCGCTCCTCCTCCTCCCCTCCACCCCTTCCTTCGTGCCCCTCTCTTCCCCTCCAAACCCCCTCCTCCCCAGTTTCCTCCCCCACTGCCTCCCTCTCCCCCTCTCCCTCCCCCTCCTGCCTCCTCTCCCTCTCCCCCTCTGCCACCGCCTCCCCAAATCCCCCTTTTTCCACCACCCCGTCAGCACCCACAACCCCTCCGCCTCCGCCCAACGTGCTCCCATGAGCTGGCAGGCCCAGCACAAAACCAGGGTAACGCATCCCAGGTTGGATTTTCACACCGGAAAACTCACACCCAATCAAGTGCCCTTTCGCCCCTTCCGGGAGCCGGTGGGAGGGCTGTGACTCTGCAGCAGCAGCAGCAGCAGCAGCAGGGAGTTCGGGATGGGGCACGAGAGCAGGGTCGATGGGGGTGAGGGGTGAGGCACCAGCAGCGTGATTGTAATTGTGACTGTGACTGTGACTATGACTGTGACTGTGATTGTAATTGTTACTGTGACTGTGACTGTGACTACGATAGAGTGGGATGAGCGGGGATGGCGTTGGCGCTGGCAGTGCTGAGTGCAGCAATGTCTGCTCTCCTTGTGGGCTGTCATCATCACTGTTATTGCTGCGGTCATTGCTCTCGTTACCGTCGTTAACGTCGTTACTGGGAGGCGCAAGTGCTGTTTCCTCGTCGTGCCGCCTGTCTCTGTACAGCACCATTGCATGCCTCCCAGCATCGCGTTCGGCCCTCCCTGCGTATCCGTCTCCCCGGCTCAACTTCCTCTTCTTCCTTTTCTTCTCCTTCTCCCTCTCCTGCTTTCTGGGACTGGACAAGCCTTTCCTTCTCTCATCCTCAGCAGCGCCGGTTTTCCATTTGCACTTACGCACTCGCTTCCTTGCTGCAGCCTCGGGCCCCTTAAGGGCAAGCAACCCCACCCCATGAGCATGACCAGCACCAGCACCCGCACCCGCGGCTCGAGCAGCAGCAGCAGCAGCTGAAGACTTCAAGCAAGCTTGCCTGTGCTTGGTGAGTCTAAACCCTTCAGGCGGGGGCAGCAGGTCCTGGGAGTGAATGTACCAGGAGACGAGGGGATGGCACACCGTGACGTCTCTGGGGTCCAGCGTGCATATGTTCTCGCACCCCGCCTCCGTCACCTGGCCCTCGGCCGGGCCTGCGAGCCACAGCAGCGAGAAGCGGCAGCAGCACTCCTCCTTTCCATGGGCCCATGCGTGCTCCTGAGGTATCACCTGGGGGGGGGGGGGAGGAGGGGAATGGGGGGAGGGCGAGGACGGGAGAGGCAAGGAGGGGTAGAGATGGGTGGTGCGGTGGTGGTGTGGGTTGTTGCAACAGGTGGGTCCTGTGGTGCGATAGATGGGCAGGAAATGCGGTGGGAATGGCTTTGAATGGAAGGAGAGGTGGGGTTAGCGAGCCGGGGAGGAGGAGGAGGAGGAGGAGGAGGAGGAGGAGGAGGAGGAGGAGGAGGAGGAGGAGGAGGCTACTTCTGAGGCGCATAAAGGTGGCAGAGTGAGAAGATGAAGAAGAGATGCCCCACCTGGAGCACGCGGGCATCGAAGTACGTGCACTGGTCGTCAGTGTACCGATACGCGCACACCGTGTCCCCGCGCTTGACCTCCCAGCAGCGCCCGTCCTGCAGCTGCTGCGACACGTACCGCACGCGCGCCCGCACCTGCTGCTCGGCCGCCAGCACCTCCTCCTCCCCCCTGAAGCCCTGGAACTCCACCAGTAGCCGCCGGGGGGCGTGGTGCTGCACCGCCTTGCGGTGGCTGGGCACTGCCCCTCCTGCTGCTGCTGCTGCAGCGTGATGGTTGCGCGGCGAGTGCGCGTGCTGGTTATCCGAACCCCCCACTGCCACGCCATTTCTTCGTCTCCCCGCAGGGAGAAGCCATAACCTCGCAGCATACCACGCATCGTCCCCCTGCGAACACACCTCCAGGGCCTCATCCCCTTCCTCATCATCCTCCTCCTCCCCCTCCTCCTCCTCCTTCCCCTCCTCCTCCCCCTCCTCCTCCTCCCCCTCCTCCTGCTCCTCCTCCTGCTCCTCCTCCTGCTCCTCGTTCTCCTCTGGATCCCCACCACGACCAACCACTCTATCCACACCGCCACCCTCCTGTCGCCGTGCATACCCGTTACATGCACGGAACGGGCCATGCTTCGCGACAAGAGAGTGCCGACCTTGCTGACCTGAAGTCACGGCATGCGAGGCTGGATCGGGCGGTGTGCGCGAGCGAGACATAACGCAAACCGCTGCACAAAACACGGCAATATTTCTGTGCCTTACTCCTCCCGTTCTCTACTCTCGGATTCGTTCTCCTCTGTCTCCCGCCTTCCTCCTTCCCCGCACCAACTGTCGATCTACCCAGGGCATCACTCGGCTGACGTCACTAAGCATAAAAAACGCCTGAAAGGCTTCCCTATCCCGATAACGCTGCATTCGGCGTAGTTGCATTCGAGCGACGTCGGTCGACCTTCAGCTTCGCATCGCCACATTATCCGACACAAGCACACTCGCTAGTGTCAAACTGACGCTTGATCCAAACGGACACAGAGCCGCCGCGTCAATGCAGAATGCCTGTGATGAGGCTTCTTGCGCGCCTGATGTTTTCGGGAATTCTCAGGTACCACTAGTCTCACAAAAGAAGTGTGCTTATAATGAAGGAGAACACAGACGCTGGGACGTAGGAAATGGCTGGTTAGTGGCAGCCGGCTTGAGCACACGAAAAGGCTCCCGACTTTGATTCGAACAAGTTCTGGTCAACGCATTCGCTGTGGATATGCTGTCACAGTGGTGAGTCCCGCTTACGTGTAGGGAACGGAACCGTAGTTTACACGACCACAAGGCTTGAGATAAGCTAGGAAAGGGTGCATACGACTCAAAAGATTCACGGACTACTCTGTAGACTAGGACACTGCCCATCCCAGAACTGAACTCCCATCCCATCACACGGCAGAACCGCTGTGTGCCCAGAAAAGAAAAAACCTCACAAGTCCTCGCTAGCAGGTTCTAGATGCTCGTTTACAACTCATGATGTTACGGCAGCCTGCCGCATTCTTAGTCTAAAATATTATATCATTCATCACGTTCTCCTCAATCTCGCAAATTGTACGCGAAATCAGTGCTTTCATCACGCAAAGCATGTATACACGAGACCCAATAACTGCATAACATGAGCCATAATCTAGCTTCTAAACTAGCAATTGGTTACATTATACATACCAAACTACAAGTGGCAAGAATGAGAAGGATGTGGAATAATATAACCAACAACGTATGAAAAAACATTCGGCGAAGTAGGGGCAAAGACAAAATAACCATGACTGGATTGATTGTAAACTTCAAACGAGCTAGGAGGACTCCAGTTAACACCACGAATCATTAGCGCTTACCCAAATTGAGCAGGTGCTATTGCTACTTTCCAAATCCCACGCTACTTCCTCACTCAGCTTCCTCCCAGGACCCAACAACCCCACCCCTGCCCTTCTGTTGCCCTGGTCCAGGGTCATCGCCTGTAAGATCTCTGGATCGCATCTCATCGTTTCCCTTCACCTGCTGATTGGCTCTCCACTCTCATCTAAAAACAACGCCAAGCCACGCACTCCCTTCTCGCTTGCAGAAGAACCGTGCGTGGGTCTTTAGAATCCTCCCCAATCATCCCAGTCATCCTTCTTCTTGGCAGCTCCCCCCTTCTTAGCCGCACCTGCTGTGGCAGTGCTGGCAGGCGCAGGTGATGGCACATCATCCCACCCACCCCATGAGTCCGACTCAGTAGCTGCTGCTGTTGCTCCTGCCTGCTTCTTCTCTGCACCAGCTCCTGCAGATGCGCGGCTCCCAGCCTTCCCACCATTGCTGCTGCTGCTGGTCATGCTTCCCTGCCCCCTGCTAACTTTAGGGCTGCCACCATCCCACTCGTCATCCCAACCAGTGAACGGCTTGTCATCCTTCATACTACTGCTCCTTCCCTGCCCAACCCCATCCTCCTCGCTCCCATTATACCTGCCGCTGCCACCCAGCCCAGACTGCCCCTTATTGTCATCCCCCCAGTCATCCCAGTCATCAAAGCCACCTCCTCCTCCCCTGTTACCCCCCACAGCCCCACCAGCACCCCCTTCGCTCACAGCAGCACCGGTAAGCCCCTGGACAATCATGGTGCCGGCATTGGCGCTGGCTGCAGCGGCTACCTCGAGAGCGTTCCCCACGGCACCACCAGAGTAGCCGTCTACGGTTTGCACAGCGCGCTCTGCGAAGCCACGCATGAAGCCCCAGGCGGACTTGCCCAGCTCAGTTGCCTTTCCTGCCACCACCGAAGCCGTCTCAATGGCCTTCTTGTCCAAGCCGCCTTCCGCAACCTGAGGTGGTCAGGCATCAGGAAAACGGCGGGAGCAAGATCAACCAGACTCATCAGCGACTCCTGACAGCGCCTGGCACTGCTCCCACAAAAGTGTGACAAACCTTCAGAATGGCTACGTTAGAAGCGAGACTTCTTCAACTAAGATCACAGCTATATCCGTGAGAGAAAAAGGGCGTGTGAATGCTCCAACTGACCTGTGAGTGGATGTCCTTGGCTCCCTCCTGGACTACCGCTGCTGCTGAGCTTGCCACCCCCACAGCCGCCATGGAGAGCGAACGGAAGCTCTGAACAGGACCAAAACATACGGCGATCAGCCGCCAAGGGGGTGCCGGCAGAGAACGAGGAAGGAACGGCAGTAAACAAACTCGAGCGAATTCAAGTGAGAGTGAGTAGGTGCCACTGGATTCAACAAAGAATTGACGGCTCGTCTGTGAACGAGAGATGACGGAAAAAAAGGCTGCACTACTTCAATACATGTGTATGCGAAAGGTGGAATAGGGAAGAGTTGATAAGACCATCGAGCTTTGACAACCTAAAGTTTCGATGCTCAAGGCGGACTCACCGACCCAAGAAACACTGAATTCACTCTTACCTCGGAAACGATCTTAACGGTATCTTCAATCACATCCTCGCCGCCTCGATTCGCGGGCCGGTTAACAGGCGCACTGCCGAAGCCCACATACTTGCCGCCCTGGCTGGGCGGAACGCCGTCCGGCCTCATGGCGTTCTCCGCCTGCTTCCGTGCGAAGAACGAATCCTTGCCCGCCGCCGACGCCTCCAGCTGCTCCCGCGAATAGATCTCATTAGTCGAGCCGGAATGGTGACCCATGCCACCGTGACCGCCGCCGTGACCGCCGCCGCCGCCGCCGGCTGCGGCTGCCAGATTGCTCCGACGGCCACTAGCCCCGTCGCGACCTGAGGAAATACTGTTCTCGGACTGGTGCCTGCGCATGCCGGCTTGGCTGCTTGAGCTGCTATCGCCCCAGTCATCCCACCCGTCGCTGGAGCCGAATCCGCCTGGGCTCGCTCTCGCAGTCGGACGACTCCCCCCCCCCGTGCCCGGCTTGTTCAGAGAAACTCTCTCTATGCTCGGCGCGGTCCAGGATCGGCCTTCCGCCATCGCCTGGATCTTAGACCGGTAGGCTTCCGCCGCCGGGGTGTTGTACTTAACTGCGATGTCCGTCTCCTTAGGCACGCCGTACTGGGAGAGGAACGCGTTGAGCGCGAGATTGCCGCCGGATTCCATTTTCTTGAGCTGGATCTCGGACCAGGAGTCCATGGTGACGGATCGCACGAAGCTGATGTGCACGCCGAGCCCACGATGGCGGCCGGAACACTCGAGGCACATGAAGATGCCGTAGCTGACAGAAGCCCATTGCGGGTTCTTCTGACTGCAATCCACGCAGACCTTGTTCCCCGGCTGCGATTGCAGGTCCCGCAGGCGCGCAGCCGCCGCTGCTGATGCCATGGTCCGTAGACAGACTTAGAAGGTAAGGAAGCAGAATCCGATGGATGTAGCTTAGCTAAACGAACTCGTGTCTAAAAGACTTGGGACCTCAGAATCAAGAACTAAACAAGCGGAGAATCGCAGTATTGGAGCTAACAGAACCAAACGAACTGATTACAGGTCGCCAGACCTGTCCTGTCGAGCACGAGAGGATCAACATTCGTCATTCAGCTGGTGGATTCTGCGTGCAGTCCATAGATAGCAAATGAATGAGGAATGAGAAGTGTGTGTGTTGTTAGGTGTGAGTTCAGAACTGGCAGAGCACACATGCTCGAGGGGTGTGTGTCTGTCAGCGAAGAGGTGGTTGTTCAGAAACCAACATCTAGGGGTTGGGAAAGAAATGGCTCGGTGTTGCTGATGGACTGATCGGCGGGGATTCTATCGAGCTTCTGTTGCTGAAACGAGGGCAGGGGGAAGGTTGTTGGAGTGGCAGGTTTCGGCTAGTTTGCCCTGGGCTCCGCCCACTGCCTTGGTTTGGCGGGAAAACACCTGCACGGGAGGGCATTGGGCTTGGACCGTTGAAACCGTTGAAGCCACGTTTTCACCTTAGATCAAACGAGAGACTGTCCACTAACATTCTTACAATACGGAAATACCATAACGGAAAGCACCATAACAGCACGAATCTATCATTTTGCACATCTATATCAAGTATTTCATTATAATTCTTGGAATTAGCATATTCAGTCATATTCAGTCATGCACCTTACAGTTTTCAAACTGGGTGCTCTATATGCCACCCGAATGGTCACGTCAGCATACTTCCACGTCATTCCGGCTCTCTCTAGAGAAGCATAAAGGATGGCAGCCAATAGGCGAGTTCCTCGAGCTTCTTCCCGCAATCCTCAAGGCCACAATCCCCATCCACTCCCCCCCCCGCCTCCTTCCTTTCCCTACCAAACCCAAACATCTATTGAGCTATATTCCCAACCACCCCTCCAGGCACGGAATGCGGCTTGGCAAAGCGAGAGCTTAGGGATTTCCGCACCTCCTGCGACTGCCAGTGCTGCTATTCCATTCTTCCCTTAGCCTCCTGCTTGTATTTACAGTACCTATCGCCAGGAACCTTGTGCTGCTGCCCTCTTGGTGTTGCTGAAGGTCTGACTGGGCACCACATCTTAAAGCCAGTTGCTGCTTTCCTGAACACGAACGCAGTTTTTGACAACATCTCCTCAAATCGACCCGAGGTTCGGGCTCTATCGGAATTGTTGTCCTTCGCTTCGCGAAACTCTGATATTTTTGGCTCCCGAAGCGGAGCTGCTATCTCCTTGCATTCAAGCCCCGTATAATCTCTCTGGCTAAAAGGAATGGCGTGCTCCATGGCGATGATGCAAGGAGCCAAATGCGGCCTTTCTCTCGCCGCTGCACCTGAGGCAAGGGCGGCGCCCCCCACTATCGCCGCCTCCCGAGTCCCACTTCCCGTCCGTTCCGGCGCAACAGCGGCGGTCAGCTCCAGTTTCAAGGACTCGTGGTTCGGGAAGACGCATCTCGGATGCAATGACATGCGTGTCGTTTTTCAAGGTAAGACCTTCCTATCTTCCTCTTGCACACTGTTTCTGACCCGTGGTTATCAGAGGGTTTCCCTTTCCAAGCTCATGGTGCGTATCCGATTCCTTGCTTTGTTCGTCGCAGAATGTCGAACAGTTTCCCTTACTCTCTAAGACTTCTCTCTAAGGACACTCACAGCTTCCGGCTCTCACCAATAACTGTTATCTGGGCCATGAGCAACCCTAACAAGCCTCTCACAATGCTCTTCCTCGTCCTCTTGCACCCTTGCCGTGGTGCCGTGATGTCCATCCATCGTTCACTGCTCTAATCTCTCCCCCTCCGCCTACTCCCATCCCTCCTCCCCCCACCCGCCACAAACCTTTCGTCTCGCCGACCGTCCTGCAGCCAGCAGAAGCGCCGGCAGCAGCAGCACGCGGGCGGCGGGCAAGGGCGTGCTGGTGGAGGCTTCGCTCATGGGCGTGGGCGCGCCCGAGGCTCTGGTGATCGGCGTCGTCGCGCTGCTGGTGTTCGGCCCCAAGGGACTGGCCGAGGTCCGTTGTGCTGTGCTGTGCTGTTCTTGCGCTTGCACTTGCGCTTTTTGAAGCTGCTTGGAGTAAGAACAGCCAGTTGAGCTGCGCCTTGCGCGCCAAGGCTCTGCCGGTACCGCGCTACGCAGAGATGGCGGCTTTAGGTGTGAATACCGGCCGAACGCAGGTTTTCCCCCTCTTTTTTTCTCTATGAAGTTGCCGGTTTGGGAGCGGATTCAAGGGCCTGTAGGAAGATGGCAGGGGCTGATAGTAGGATGGAGAGGGAGTGACAGAGGGGTTGGGTGGAGGATGAATAATGTTGGAAACAATGGCGATAGGTCGCACGCATGGTGAGAAAAACGTCGAGGGCTGGACCAGCGCGCGAGAGCAGTGCACCCCCTTCCCGTCACGCCATCATGTGTAATGAGTCGATTTTTGAGTCGACTCAAAAATCGACTCATTACACACCGTCACGCCATCATCCCCAGCTCTTCGCGCCGTTCCTTGTCCGTGCAATCATCCCAGGTGGCTCGCGGCATCGGCAAGACGCTGAAGACGTTTCAGCCGACGATTAAGGAGCTCCAGGAGGTCTCCCGGGAATTCAGAGACACGCTGCAGTCAGAAATCGGAATCGACGACATCAGGAACCCGCCGCCCCCTCCCCCCACCCCCGTCGCTGCCCCTCCCGCTGTTCCGCCCACTGTTTCCGCCGCCGTCGCTGCCCCCCCCGCTGCTCCCGCTGCGACCACCCCTTCCGCTGCTGCGCCGGCTGCCACAACCATCCCGAGGGGTTAGTCTTTACTTCAATGCTTTCTTTATCGTTTTCTGTGTGTTTGGTTTTGTTTTGCGGGTCTGCTCTTGTTCCATCCCCCGCATTTTTCCTTCACTCCCCTCTTCTCTCGGCCCCCTCCTGCTCCAATCCTCTCCATCGTCTCTCCTTTCTCGCGTCATCCCGTCCGCCCATCCCTCATCGCCACGTGCAGAGTTCTCAGCTGATGACGTGGCCAAGGTGACAGAGCAACAGCTGGCGGCCGTCGCCTCGCTCAATTCAGTCACTGACGAGATGAAGAAAGGTGAGGAGCGCGTGCACGGGGTTCTTTAAAGGCGTTCTTATCCCCTAGTAAGATGAAAGGCCCTTGCAATTTTGCAGCATCTTAAACTGTGAAGAAATGTGAGGAGGAGGGGTCCCTGGGGTTTCTTGAGGGTATGTTCAGTGCCTGCCTGCATGTCCAGCTGGTAGAGTGCGAGACATGGGGGAAAGAGAACAGACTCAGTAGGTTGCGCTTCAGTGATCGTTTGCAGCATCTCATGACTCCGGTTGTTCAACCTAGATAACCCATGGCTTTAAGAATAATTTCGAATCCAACCATCTCCACTCATGTCCTCACCTGTGCTTCCCTCCTCATCCTCTTCAGCATCTGCAGCTGCTGCTTGGGCTCCTGCTGCTCAAGACGCTGCTGCTGCCGCTGCCGCTGCTGCTACACCTGCAGCTACAACGGCAGCACCAGCAGCAGCAGCAGCAGCTGCAACACCAGCAGCACCCGCAGCACCTGCAGCAGCAGCAGCACCGGCAGCAGCACCAGTTGTAGATTCAGCAGCTTCTAGCTCAGCCGTTCTGGCTGCTGATAGCAAGGCACCTCCCAGCTAGCTAGATTATCCACTATAGAGAAGACAACTAGTTGACAAGTGTGGAGTGCAGATTGGTTTTTATGTTTTGCACCTTTTGTACTAAAATTCTAGGTTTGGTGTGGTGTGATGGTGTGTGCAGCTTTTATGTGTGCAAGTCTCCTTGTGCTGCATTGGGACTGCTGCCGTAGGTGTCTGACCAAGGCAAACAAATCCTACATCAATTCAAGACACGTGGTTTACCACCAGTGCTTGTGGGTAAGCCTGAATCACGTCAAGCACTCGAGACAGGAGGTACCAGCAGGCATAAGTCCCAAGACCAGAAACAGCGTGCTGCGGTTCGGGTTTGAACAGTCTGTTGTTCCCTATCTGCTTGTAGTAAGTGGTGTGGTGTGTGTAGGCAACCCTAAGCAGAGGGAAGCACTGGTGGCACAGGTGCATTGTCATGCAGCCACTTGAGGTATGCCTCACTGCCGGCCACGATGGGGAGAGCTATGAGCTCAGGCACACTGCACGGGAGGGATGTGGTGTGGAGGTTGAACAAGCACACGCCACATGGTTGACACAGATGCATGGTATGAGGTTGGGGAGCAGCGCAAGGGATGAAGGAGAATGGAAAGGAAGGGGGAGGTGTAGGTAATTAGAGAGGTGATTTGTGCGCGCTGCAGCAGAGGAAGATGCTCTTGGCAGGCACACACACGCATTCGCTGCTGTTCTTATCTTCCAAGCACACTCTCCTTCTCCCACCCCCCTCTGCTGCGCTTGGGGCATCCTTCCCTCCCAACCCCCCAATCCGACCCTCTACCACCTTCCTTTCCCCTACCCCCTGCAACCCCCCCCCTCCTCTGTCTCTCCCTCACTCCTTCCCTTCCCCACCCTCGCCCTCTCCCCCACTGTCCCTGCCTCCCTCCCTCTCATGCACTCACTCGTATGGATGGTTGGTCTTGAGGTGCTCTTGAATGGACTGCAGCAAGGCACGCCGTGTCTTCACTATAAGCAGCTCCTCGTTATCAGTCTCTATCTGCACAGTGGCAAACACTTGGGCGTGTCATAAGGCGCCTCAAAACATGAAAGATTTCATACAGAAATGCCACAAAAATCCTGAAACATCCAGGTTGCACGGGTGCATGAGGCAGAATAGCAGTGGCAGAATGGCAGCAGCAGAATAGCAGCACACGCAGAGAGTGGCGTTCAATGGTATTGGTAGAGCACCTTGACAGCATCCCTCCTGTTTCACTCACCTTTCCTTCCCACCAATAGGTCGACTCCACGCCTGCCCACAACGGCACACACGAGCGGGAGAGAGAAAGGTGGTCAGACCAAAGTGTCCGTGACATTTGCTAGCCCCCCCTCCATATGGCTCTTGACTTGCGCCACTTATACCCTTTTACGTGCTAAAAACTGTTCACCCACCAGATGCTTCATCATAAGCCTAACCCACCTGCACCCTTTCACTTGCACCCTTTCACCCTTCGATGAGCAGTCCTCCACTTCCTCTCCCTCCACCATGCCCCCTCTCTCACATCACTACCTTCCCTGACCAGACCACCTACGCGTCCACGGCCTACCGGGCACTCTGTTCACGCATGCTGCTAGCTTTCCTCCCACCAGCGATGCTGCAAGCTTCTGCCCTGCGGGGATGATCACGGGGGGAGAATCAAGCAAGAAGGTCGATGAGAGCTGGAGCAGGGAGATGGGAAAGTGGACAAACAAGTGCCAAGAACCCAACAAAAAATGAATCGCTTTTTCTTATTATTATTATTATTATTATTGTTATCATCATCATCATCATAATTATTATTATTGCTAGCTAGAGTATTATAACAACGCACCAGTTTCCTTGTTGGGTACAGTTATGTACACCACCACAGCATCGCCCGCCTCCTCATCTGCCACCACCGGCCCTGCCCCTCCTCCCGCTGCTGCTGCTGCTGCCATCCCCCTTGCGGCTAAGCCAGATGCCGGTTCAGCTGAAAATGTTTTACTGCCTGCCTGTGCACCAGAGAAGATTTCGGAGGCTGGAGGAGTGGAGGCGGAGGAGGAAGGGGCAGCCAGAAAGAAACTGCCGAGGGAAAGGGAGAGGAAGAGGAGGAGGAGGAGAAGGGGGGAGTGGGAGAGGGTGGGGGGAAGGCGGAGTGTGAGACAGGAGAGAGACGAACGGAGGAGGGTAAAGAAGGAGTGAGGGTGAGAGGGTGGGTGGTGGGCTGATGTGGAGGATGACTGAGGCATGGCTTGATGCAACGATGATGGTGGTGATGATGGCGATGATGGTGGTGGTGTTGTTGGCGCCAGAACTGCTAAAGCAGCCGTGTGCCTGCGCTCACATGCGATACGAACAGCGGTGTTTGAGAAGTCTCAGGAAATTCTAAGGAAATTCTCAGGAAATTCTCAAGAAATTCTCAAGAAATTCTCAAGAAATTCTCCAGAACCAACTGGCCAACCAACGGACCAACCAACTGAGCAACGGCGGTGGTAGGCTGGAAGGCCGACACGATGAGATGCGATGGTATGGTAGGCTTCTTCAAGCCACACAGCGCGCTCACCTCGAAGCTCTCGGACCGGCGCGGCGGCTCACAGTACCGATGCTAGAAGCAGCAGCAGCAGCAGCACCACCACCACCAGTGGCGCGCAACGAGGGGGGAGGCGCCGAACTCACGGGAAGGCGGTTCTGCTGCGAGGGGAAGGAGGGGCGGAATGGAAAGGGGGAAGGAGGGGCGGAATGGAAAGGGGGAAGGAGGGGCGGAATGGAAAGGGGGAAGGAGGGGCGGAATGGAAAGGGGGAAGGAGGGGCGGAATGGAAAGGGGGAAGGAGGGGCGGAATGGAAAGGGGGGGTGGGGGGAGAGACGGAGAGCGAAGAGAACGGGAAGCGCCAGAGTGAAAAGCTCTAGTCTCGAATGGGCTCAGGCTTGCAAGACAGCGACGGGGTTTCGCGACGGGGGAGCGCGGCCGTGATACTGCCAATAACTCTCGCCGTGCGTACGTACACGATGACGTCGTGCGAAAAGATCGACGGCTTGGCGAAGAGGCCGACTGGCGGCGAAGAGGCGGCGAGCGCGTGGAAGAGAGCGAGGAGAAAGGGCTAGGGAGTGAGGGAGACAAGCGGCCATGGCAGAACGAACTGGAATTTGGTGTTCTCTTTGGTGTAGTGTGGAATTTGGAGCATGGGCGAAGCTTCGAGAGAGTGCTCTTCGTTACAGTCCACAACCTGAGATTGTGAAACAGCATAACCGCACTAACGAAGTTTCACTCTCGTAGTCATTTACATTTGAAACGTCACTTTCAACTACCAGCCATAACATGTCCGTCCATAACAGCTACCATTCTCCTATCAAACAAACACAATTATGGTATTGCATCTTCCACATAACACACATCCCGAGGAATCTCATTACAGGGGACACATCACAAGGGACACATCACAAGAGACATATCACAAGGGATCAAATCACAAGGAATCACATCAGCTCCTCCTGTACACCTTCACTTCAATCCCCTCCACAGCGGCCATGGAAACCCCGAGCCTCAGATTCGGAACCTCTTCCCGCATCTGCTTCTCCGACAAGCGGAACACAAAGCGACGGTAAATGCGCACCACCGCAATCATCAGCTGTTGCACCGCCAGCTTGTACCCGAGGCACTTCCTGGGCCCTGCGCCAAACGGGATATACGCACAGGGCGGGCGATTCTCCCCCACCGCCTCACCCCCGGGGAGAAACCTCTCGGGCTTGAAGGCATCGGGCTCGGCAAAGAGCCTCGGATCGTGGTGGATGGTGTACGCGTCGATGAAGAAGCGCGTGCCCTTGGGGATGGCGACGCCGTCAAGCGTGGTGTCGAAGGTGGCTTGGCGCGCGATGTTGGGAGCGGGCGGCACGATGCGGAGGGTTTCTTTGACCACGGCGACGGTGTAGGGGAAGAGGTGCAGGTCGTCGTAGGATGGGAGCTGGCCTGGCAGGGTCTTGTCCACCTCCTCCAAGAGAAGGGCTTCTGCCTGCATGCATCATCGTGCGGACAAGTGAGCAGAGTGCAAAATGGTGAGAAGGGTGAGATAAGGGAGGAATGGAGATGGGGAATGGTTGATCTCGTAGAGAAACCTTGACTGGACCAGAATCCCTCCCTGTCGCCGTGCAAAGGCAGCAGCAGACATCAACCCCCATCCAAACAAGCAGCAAGCAACGCAAGCTGCGGCAGCACGTGAGCCCTGATAACATATAGATCAGCGCTGCACACTGCACGCGGCGTACCTTCGGGTTCTTGGCGATGTAGTAGACGATGAATCCAAGCGTGGTGGCAGCAGTCTCAGAGCCAGCGAGCACCATCTCCATGGCCACGGCCTGCACCTGCTTCAGGGACAGCTTCGACCCGTCGTCCATGCGCGTCTTGTTCGACAGCCACGAGATAAAGTCCGGCCTCTCCTTTTCCTCATCTGCTGCCAATTCCGCTGGTGCTGCTGCCGAGGCTGCTGGTGCTGCTGCTGCAGACCCTGCTGATTCTGCAGTGGTCTCTGCCCCCTCCACAGCTGCTCCTCCTCCCTTTGCCCCTCCAGTGGCAGTGCCTGCCAGGGCGTTGCTGTCCCGGCAGGCCAGCACGGCAGCAGCGGTGTACTGGCGGGCGAGCCAGCCTGCGCGCTCGGGCGTGCCGGGAATGAACTCCAGCGCGCGGCGCACCACCCTGCCCAGGGGCAGATGCAGCAGCTGGATGGGCGCCGACCAGGGCGCCTTGCTGGGACACGGGGGGGAAGGGGGGAGAGGGAGGGGAGGAGGGGAGAGGGGGGGGGGGAGGGAGGAGGCGAGCTGGGGGGGTGAGAATAAAACGGAGACAGACGAAAAGTCGGCTGGAGAGAGAGGGGGGGAAGGAAGGGGGGCAAGCAAGGGTGGGGTGGTGGGGGGAGAAGAGAGCGGGTGAGTGAGGAGGGGAAGGGGGGACAGGGAAGGCAGGCATGGAAACATTTGAGCTATGAATACGAGTTGTGACACAGTTCGACACTCACCCTCCCGAGACATTGAACTGCTCCAGGATAGTCTGCAGCGCGCCAGCCAGCTTGCCCTCGTCGTAGGTGGAGAAGCGGCGGCCAAACACAGCAGAACCAACCACGTCCACTGACGCATGGTGGAAGAGCGGAGACACATCCACGTGCCCCCCCCTCTCCCCACTCCTTCCACTCTCACCACCCTTCCTCGCGGCTCCTTCTGCTGCCGGACGAGATGCAGTTTCCACTGCCTTCTTTGGACTAGACTCTTCCACTGCTGCTGCTGCCATCCCAGCCCCCGTCCCAGATCTTTCACTCTGCAGTCCGCTCTCAGCCTGCGCTGCTTCGTGTGCTGCCTCGCCAGCACCAGGAGTGGCGGGTTCCAGGGGCGGTGGGGACGGTGACGGTGGCTCTGCAGGCGCCTGTGCAATTGGGGATGCTTCACCCACCTCCGTCTCTGGCTTTTGTGGCTTCAGTGCCTGCTGCTGGTGCAGCGGCTGCATTGCCTGCTCCTGCTGCTGCTCCAACGGTGGTGAGGTTGCAGAGATGGATCCAACGGCGAGCTTGTCAAGCTTTCCTGTGATACACATGCACACACATGCACACATGCACACACATGCACACACATGCACACATGCACACACATGCACACACATGCACACATGCACACACATGCACACACATGCACACACATGCACACACATGCACACACATGCACACATGCAGACAGAGAGCAAGAGAATGCTATGACGAGCTCCAGAATGGCGAAAAAAATCGCCGGAGTCGCCATAAGCCATGGCCAGAGTCAGTATCACTGAGCCGCATGCTCAAAATGTTCCCACAGCATGCTCACCTCACACCGTACCACACCTGTTCAAGCCGATTACCGAAGAGGCGTGGGCCACTCACGGAGCAGGTCGTGAGAGCAAGCTGACTACCAATCAGGCAGGCCACTCACGGAGCAGGTCGTCCATGCAGTGGTTAATGAGCGGCGAGTAGCTCGCGAGGCGCGACGAGTGGAACAGCGGCAGCACGGCCGCGCGCACACGGCGCCAGTAGTTCCCTTTCCCAAAGATAATATGGTCCGCCGTGAACTCGTTCGGCGTGAGCTCAAACCGGTCATGGAAGGCGTCAAACCGCCGCTCACACACCTCCCGGGCCAGCTCCGGGGATGCAACAATCACCATGGGGTGCGGGCCTAGCATATATTTGTACAGAGGGCCGTACTGCCGCGCCCACGTCATGTGGCAGATGTGGAATTCCCGCGCTGCTATGTCCGGGATGTTGCCGATGAGGAAGCGGGACGGTGGGCCGGGGATGTGGCGGAGTTTGCGGGCCGGGAGGGTGATGAGGCGGACCAGGAGGAAGAGGAGGAGGGCGTAGGAGGAGGTGAGGAGAAGGGCGTAGAGAATGGGCGGGGAGAGGAGGTAGTCGGCGGATGGGAGGAGGCGGGAAGGGACGAGGTGGGTGGAGATGGCGCGAGAGAGGGAGGAGAAGGGGTGGGCCAGGGAAGGAGGCAGGGAGACGAAAGGGGCGAAGAGAGGGGAGAAGAGGGAGGTGAGGGAGCGGGCGGCGGGGAAGGGGGAGAAGCTGAGCGGGGACGGGTAGGACTTGGCCATGGAGGCGAGGAAGGACGACACTGCGTCTCTGGCGCCCCTTGCTGCCACGGCTGCAGAGGTGAAGAGCCCCTCCGCCATGGCGATGTATCTTGTGGAGGAGTCTTGCAGCTGTGAGACCATACACCGCAGAGACCGCAGAGGCCACAGCCCGCCGTATGCGGCCCAGGGTACTGGTGCTACCGCGTCCCAAGACGTGTGTCTGCAGTCGATGTTGTCACGGCACGGGTTCCTTCCTCCTGGGCACTGACGCCCTCCTCTGACGGAGATTCACGAAGTACCTCCTCAATTACTCACTCCGTCGATCGCTCCCTCAATCAATATCTCGACGCTCCCCAACGAACCGACCGGCAGCGGTGCGTGCTAAAGAGAAGAAGTCTGCACCTTCTCAACTCCTGCTTAAAAAAAATTCGAGTGCGAGATATACAAGGACGACGAGCCACAGCTGGCGAGCTGGAGAGAACGAGCCAGAGGCAGCGAGGCTCCACCCGTTTCGACGAGAACGAGAGCGAGGAGGAGCGAGGGCAGGTATCATGGCCGCACCTGGGGGAACGAAATGAGGAGATCTGAGAGGCCGAGGCCGGGGGGCGGAGCGGCGGAGCAGCGGATGGGCGGAGGAGCGGAGAGGTGGAAGAGCGGAGGGGCGGAGGGGCGCAGGGGCGGAGGATTAGGCGTTCACCCAGCGAGCAGCACAGCCTGAATTCCCGCGGATCCCGCCAAGCCTGAAGCAAGAAACCCCCGGATCGCAACCGGAGGAGGAAGGCTGGAAAAGCCCGCTCCGCTCGAGGGGAGTGAGTGCCACTGCGTGCCACTGCACCGGAGCGCGGCGACTACGGTGCAGAATGGTTGGTTTGGTTTCATTTCATGTACGGTAGATTAGATCGATTAGATTAGAGCTGACGTCCGAAATCCGTGCTGCATGGCAGCGCTGCGAGGCTGACGCCAGGGGCGGCAGCATCTGGTGTGGCCTGGCCGATGCATGGCGAGGGAGGGTGAGGGAAGAAAGAGCAGCGGTGCGATGAACGCACTGCCACGTCGGCTGGCGACGGGGAAGGACCCCTTCCCGCTGAGCCGGGAGTGCCGCTTGCGCGAGCGAAGGTGGGATAACTGGTGCATGGCGTAGGAGGGGAGAGGGGAGGCGAAGCGAGGAGGGGAGAGGGGAGGTGCTGCCGTGAGCGTTGCATGCGTGCGCTATGGATTTCGCGCGACTTGACGGGGAGTAGTACAGCACAGTAGTACTAGTGCATGCAGAGGCGGTCTGGTACGACAACGTCGTCGCTTCATCGCGGGACGTACCGATTGAGGAACAAGCAGAGATTCGTGGGTGGGGAGGGGAGAGAGGGGAGGGAGAAGAACACCTCCCTGAACTGAAGCCACCTTCAGGGAGAAGGCTGAAAAAACACAATTCAGAACTGGAAAAGCTATAGGTTTGAAAACCCAAGTGGCGAGAAGGGTTGGAAACGTGTAGACTTGTAAACCGCGACAGCACCGTAACAGAGTACTCGATGATCACATTATCGAGTACCGTGATGTCCCCCTTGCCCAGTAAGGGCGTGTGGCAAGTAGTTCCAAAATGAAGGGAGATGGGACGGGAGCAGGGGGGGTGGAAAGTTGGAAACCCGTTGCACATTAGTGTTCTCACGCACTTCACAGAAACTGTCCGTGTAAGGAATTTCCATTCCTTACTGAGTCGTACCCTAGCGCGTACACCCGTACTCCTCGACTGGTCACGTTCGGCCTTCTTTGTCGGCCCAACCCTTCCCCGAGTCGCGCCCGGCACTGTCGCCACATTGCCGAACCTACCCATGTTCCGAGGTTATCGCCCTAGTACGCCAACCCCTATATAACCTCGTGCCTTCATTGCAATAGCGACCTTGCATTCTCACGTTATAGTTCATTGACACTTCCTATATCATAATAGCTGGTATCAGAGCCCGAGCTTTCTAGGAACCTTCCGTTTTCCCGTTTAATTAGTTAAGGGTGGTAAGAGGGGATAAGCACGGCTGCACAGCAGTTGTCTTGGATCGTAAATATTTTTACGTCAACAACTACAGCGTGTGCGCTAGCTTTTGCCCCGTCCCGACCGCCATGGCCCTGGTAGATTCGACGGTTGAGGAACAATCCATCTCGACTGCTGCGAACCTTGCCCGGGAAACTGTGGACCTGCAAGCATTAATGTAGTAGCTGAATAATTTGACAAGCGTCGTCAACAACCTCCGCGACGAGAACCAACGACTTCGCCAGGCGTAGGAGAGGCGTTCAGAGGAGTCGAGCGACGATGCACGAAGTGAGGCGGGTGAGCAGCAACCGTCGCCAGTGGAGCTGGCACGACTAGCAGCAACAGCCCCGCGCTCGACAAGTGGCGACGTAAGATATCATCAACCCGCTCCTTTCGACCCAGCTAATAAAGGCGTGACGGTGCGGCAGTGGATATTCGCCATGCATATCTATTTTAACGCGGCGGGCATCCGAGATGATCAGAAGTGGATCACCCATGCGTTAACACTGTTGCAAGGGGCCGCCCTACAATGGTGGAAGGCCATCGTCGACTCAGCGGCAATTCGCACAGAAGGACAGCATGAGTGGTCCGAAGAATTCGGCGACGAAGACGATGCATACTTGTTGTTCAGTGCGACCCACATTCGCACGTGGGCAACGTGGTGCGCAGAGCTTCGCAAGCGGTTTGAGCATGCTCCTGACTTTGACAAGGCACGCGAGAATCTACGCATGTGGAAGCAGCTGGGATCTGTGTCCGAGTACACCGCGTCATTCTTGACGTTGGTGGACCGATGTGGCTACATCCACGAGTTGGAGAAAGTCGACAGGTACATGGGCAGCTTGAAGCCTGAAATACAGTACCAGATAAAACTGCAACGCCCTGCGAAGCGGTTACAATAGTACATCCAACTCGCCGAAGCCGCTGATTCGCTCACGAAGCCGAGGACGAACTTCTACGACAGAGGTCGCCCTCGAGAACAGTACCAGCGCGCCACGATAGAAAGGGTGGACGCAGTGGATAATTACGCAGTTACTCTGCGAAATACGGGGCTATGCTACCACTGTGGCTGGCCGGGTCACATCCGACGCAACTGCCAAGAATTCATAGCCCTCCTGAATTCTATGGGGAAGAAGCCGGAGGAGCGACCGGGAAATGGGTCGCATCAGTAAGTACCGGGCCCCTTACTGACGGACAGGCTTCTTCGCCCGAACCACACAGTCCCCACTGGGTCGTGATCCCGATTGCTGCAATCGACCGGACCCAGACGAATAAGGGGGACGAAACTGCTGATCACCCTGTGTTGGTGGAGGGTAAAGTCAACGGGGTGCTGTTGAAGATTTTCGTGGACAGAGGCGCGAGTCATTGTCTCATACAGCTGGATAGGGCTAAGAAATTGGGGATACCCTTACTAAAGTGACTACCTGAAATCGACGCACGACTAGTGGACGGAACACCGCTGGCAATACGGGAACGAGTGGAGAATGTCAGTTTTCATTGCGGGGAGCATGTAAAATTTCGGATGGGACTGCTGGCGACTACTCTCAACGGGTGCGACGTACTGCTAGGACGTGATTGGTTGCGACGATACAACCCGAAGATTGATTGGATGACGGGTGGCTGCAGCATCAAGCTCGATGGAATTTCCTGCGAGCTGCCCAAGTGGGCGGGACCTCGAATGCGAAGCACCCAAGTCCATGCAATGATTTTCAAGCGTGCGATAAAAGCGGGAGCTGCAGCGTACGTCGTTGATCTTCGCGAGGTGACGTCGACGACCACAGCCGAAGATATCGCGAAGCTGTGCAAGGCCGTTCCTCCGGACTTAGCGGACCTGATTCGGAAATACCCCGAGATTTTCCCAGACGACCTGCCATCTGGATTTCCGCCGAGCGGACCAGAAGACCATCGCAGGGAGCTGGAACCAGGCACCCAACTGACGCTACAGCGACAATTTCGGCCCAGCCAACCAGAATTGGAAGAATTGCAGCAGCAGCTAGATTACCTTCTGACAAAGGGATTTATCCGGCCCAGCACGTCCCCATATGCCGCCCCGATACTATTCACGCCGAAGAAGGATGGCGGCTTCAGAATGTGCATCGACTACCGCGCGCTCAATAGGATCACCATCAAGTCGCGTTACCCGATCCCGCGAGCCGACGAAGTACTCGACCAACTTCGCGGAGCCAAGTTCTTCTCGAAAATGGACTTGCGAGGGGGTTACCATCAGATTCGCGTCCCCGCCGAGGATTCTCACAAGACGGCATTCCGAACCCGCTACGACAGCTACGAATATCTGGTGATGCCTTGTGGCCTGACGAACGCGCCCTCGACCTTCCAGATGACCATGAACGAAATTTTCCGGGAACTCTTGGACAAATGCGTCATTATCTACCTCGACGATATCCTCATCTACAGCCGCAGCAGGGAGCAGCACTTACATGATCTTGATGCAGTCTTTACGCTGCTGCACAAGAATTGCCTCCTCACGAAAGGGTCTAAGTGCGACTTTCTTAAGCAGGAGTTGGAGTTTTTGGGCCACATCGTCTCTACCGAAGGAGTGAAAATTGACCCCAAGAAAATCAAGACCATACAGGAGTGGAAGCCGCCAAGCAACATAAAGGAGCTGCAGAGTTTTTTGGGTTTCGTCAACTACGTCCGCCAGTTTATCCCGAATATGGTTGGGTTATCTGCCCCGCTAACTGACCGACTCAAGGATCACGATTGTTTTTTGTGGGGAGAGAAGCAGCAAGCTGCATTTGACCAACTGAAGATCGCCCTAACGCCGCCACCCGTCCTTCGCATCTCCGATCCTGGCCGTCCACACGAAGTCATCACTGACGCAAGCGACATCGCCATCGGTGCAGTTCTCCTACAGGATTTCAGCGACGGATTACAACCGGTCGCCTACGAATCACGGAAGCTGCAGGGCGCGGAGAAAAACTATACGGTACACGACAAGGAAATGCTGGCGATCATCCACGCGCTCAAGACCGGGCGATGCTATTTGACAAGCGCCGATATCACTGTGCGGACCGACCACAAATCCCTCCAGTACCTGCGAGACCAACCGAATCTCAACCAACGATAAATCCGATGGCTCGATTTCCTTGAGTCGAATGTCCACTACACCATCACCTACAAATGGGGCACCAACAACATTGCCGATGCCCTGACTCGACCCACTGCCCATACAGCCGCCATACTAGTTGCCCAGACCGGCCCACTGCTTAACGGACTATTTACCCACGGCTACAAAATCGACCCCTTCTTCCGCTCTGCTATTCATCAACAGCATACAACTGCCACCAGACACTATTTTAATAAGGGCGACACTTCTCGCATCTGGGTGTCCAGCTACGATTTACTTCGTACCCTTCTAATCCAGGAATCCCACGACAATCCTACCTCCGGGCATTTCGGCGTCGACTAAACCATGAAGACGTTGCAGCATAATTATTATTGGCCGAACATGGCCGACGACGTGCGCAAGTACGTGTCCACATGCACCACCTTGCCAGATCATGAAATCATCCCATCAGCCGGACTACTACAGCCGTTGGATCCGCCCGAGCGACCCTGGCAACACATCACGATGGACTACGTGACAGGAGTGTCGGCCAGTCCCAGCGGAAACGATACCATCCTCGTGGTCTTTGACCGACTCACGAAAATGGCGCACTTCATCGCCTGCCAACAAACAATCACGGCCGAGCAAACTGCCCAACTGTTCATCGCCAACGTCATCCGACTGCACGGACTGCCCACCGCCATTATTTCAGACCAAGACCCGAAATTCACATCGAAATTTTGGTGCCACCTATGGGACCAGTTCAGCATCAAACTCTAGTTTTCCGCTACCTACCACTCACAGACCAACGGCCAGACCGAACGAGCCAACCAAACTATGGAACAACTCATTCGGACTACCTGCACTGACCCACAGACATGGGAGAAAACCCTTCCACTGCTGGAATTCGCGTATAACAACGCACCCTCCGCCACAACCCATCAATCCCCATTCTTCCTCAATTACGGACAGGACCCAGTGGTACCCTCTACCCCGAACATCGAGACACCCCTGCCCCGGTCCCAGAAATTTGCCGAAGACATCCTCGCCGCCCGAGAAAAAGCAGCTGAGGCAATCAGGAAAGCCAACCTGGTCGCAAGCCGACAAGCCGATCATTATCGACGTGACATCACGTACCAAGTGGGAGATCTCGTAGTACTTGACACTCGCAATTTGCGTCTGCCGATCCCGAGCAAGCTTCAACCCAAATTCTGTGGCTCTTTCCAAGTGACAAATATGGTGACACCTGTCACTAC